AGCCTGCGCGTCCGGAGCCTGTGCTCTGCAACGGGAGAGGCCACAACAGTGAGAGGCCCGTGTACCGCAAAAAAAAAAAAAAAAAGAAGATAAGAAGATGGATGGATTCGGGCTGTGTTCTGGATGGAAAGCTGGAAGAACTTAGTAATGTACTAGGTGCTGGTGTAATGCAAACAAAGGGATCAAGATGACTCCAGAGGGCTTCCCTGGTGGCGCAGTGCTTGAGAGTCCGCCTGCCGATGCAGGAGACGCGGGGTAAATGTTATGTAATGTGTATTTTACTCCATTTTAAAAAATCATTCAAAATCTCCTTTTAAATGGTTAAACATTCAGAACTTGAAGCTCCTAGAAAGCAAGATCCTTCTAAGAGGTCATCAGGCACACTTATGCTAAAAGATAGTGGAGTGGCTCCTTCAGTATTCTGAGGGAAAAAGATTTTGGACCTTGAGTGATAGTCTCAGCCAAGGTAACAATCAAACGAACACAAAGTAACAATATTTTAACACGTGAGAAATAAAAATATTTTCTAAACCAATTTACTTGAGAACACATAAATATGGAAAATACTCTATCAAACTGAAAAAAAAAAATACAAGAAAGAGGGAGGAATGGAATCCAAAAAACAAGAAAGCAGTAAAGAGAGCTCTAATGACAGCAGTGCAGCAAGCCTAGAAAGTAGCCAGTCCTGAGTAGGTCAGAATGTCAAAGACCTCTGGGAGTGATGATTTTAAAAAAAAAAAAAAAAAAAAAAAAGATGACTCCAGGGTTGTGGCTTGGGCAACTAGGTAGATGTGATGCCGTTTGTGGAGGTGGGGAAGCTGGGGAGGAGGGGGTGTCCAGGAGAAGATCAGGAGTCCAGTTTTGAACGTGTTAAATTCAAGATGCCCATTCGTCAGCCAAGTGAAGATTCCACGAAGGCAGCTGGACGTAGGAGTTGGGAGTTCTGGGAGAGGTGTGGGCTGGGGAAGTGCACTGGTGAGTCACCACCAGCATCCTGAGACTACCCAGGGAGAGCATGTAGCTGGAAACTGAGCCTCGGACAGTCTAACCTTCAGGTCAGGTTGAGGCAAGGATCTGGCGGGGGAGGCAGGAGCGAAACCAGGAGCAGAGACTGTCTCCGCAGGAGGGAGCCGTCTACTGTGCTGGCTGCCACAGAGGTCAGAGGAGGTCACCTGGTGACCCGGGCAGAAAAGGGAAGCAGATTGTGGAGGGTGAGAGAGTGGCAGGTGATGGAAGGGAGAGAGGACGTGCTGACACGTGGAAAAAAGTTCCCAAAGTCCCTCTTTGGGGACTTTGTCCATTGAGTGGACAGCTAGCTATTCACTGAGCACCTACTATGTGCCAGGCACTGTTCCAGGCACTGAGCAGTGGTGACCCAGGCAAGTTCCTGCCCTCATGGAGCTTATGTTCCCAACAGGGGCCAGAGCCAGAGGGGGATGTCCAGTCAGGATTACTTCTTTACTTGCTTTAAGAAGTTCCTGACTGGCACACGTTTATATGCTGATGGTAATAATGACGCAGGACAGAGGGGGCGGTGGGCTGCCTGAAGAAGGCCGGGAGCCCGTGCCCTGAGTACCTGAGCAGCCTTTCCACCGTCCCAGGAGAGCAAGCAAGTGGTAGGGGTACCCGGGCAGATGTGTGACTGTCCACCCTCAATAACCCTCTAAGACTGGGGCACATCCCTCAGTGTCCCCATGTTCCCTCTCCTCTGTGCTAGGGTGGAGAGAAGCTGGGGCTTGAAGGGGCCCCCTAATCTCTGAGGCAACACCAGTCCAGGTGGGGAGATACAGTGAACCTGGGTCCTCAGGCTCCGCTGGAAGTGGGATGTTATTTAAGCCCATCTCTCGGGTGATAAGGCAGGGTCTCCAGCAGGCCAGAATAATCGCAGAGAGATGAGACGAGGGGGCGGTGAGAAAAGCCAGTCATGACTCTGGACTTGGCCGAGGGCCTTGTTGGGTGGGAACGGGAAAGGAAAGGCAGAACTGCCCTCAAGGGGCCCATGAAGTTCCATCTGGGAGTGGGAAGAGGGTAGGCTGGGCCGCTGACCCCGGGCAGTGATACAGTGTGGAGGGAGGAAGCACAGGGCCAGGAATCAGGAGATGCACACTCTAATCCCAATCAGGCAGACTTGACAGTGGCCTTGACCTTCTATGAGCCTTAACAGTGACTCCATGAACTGGTTGCTGAGACTGACCCAGGCAGACCTGGGTCAGGATGCATGCTGAATAGCTCCCAACTCCCAGGGATCTCTGGATCATATTTTGTTTGTTGATTAAAAAGCTTACAGTTTGATCAGAAATAAGCAAAACCTGCCACCCAATCTGTGTGGCTGTGAGAAGTGATTAACACAACACCCACTGGGAGCGCACCCCACCTCCAATGTGCTTGATGTAGCAGGCGCAGGGCTGTCACAAAGGAGGCTGAAGCACACGCTTAAAAAGGGGCACAGGAGCACATGACATCACTCGGAAAACTCTGCATCCTGCTCAGCAAGGGAGCATTTCCTGTGAGGGATGCACTGCCGGCTGGGTGAGACCAGAATCCCCTGGGCGGAGACTAACATAGTACATAATGCACACAATGAAGTCTCGTAAGGAACCGGCTTGGTGTCAGCTAATCTCTTGGCCTTACTGAGTGCCTACTCTGTGCCGGCCATGTGCTAAGGGTGAGGGGGAAGTGTATATGAGAGGAAAGCGAGGGGAGAGTGTGGGGTTGAGGCATGGAGTTCGAATCCTACCTCTGCACTCTGAGCCATGATATCCTAGCCAAGGCTCCACATCTCTTAGAGCCCCGATTTTCTCATTTTGCAGTAAGATGATAACCCCATTTATCCCACATTAGCTTGTTAAGAGGATGATACACCTGATGGTGCCAGCACAGGATCCAGGACGTGTTTTATTAAGTTCCTGGAGAAGCTCACTCTAGGGTAGGTATGTGGAATGATGAGAAACTGAAAAAGCAGTCTGGGGGCAACTCACAGAGTGAGTGGCAGATGGGATATGGGACTTTATCCTGGCGGTGATGGGGAGCCACTGAAAGTTTCAGAGCAGAGCAGGGACCTGACACCCCAGCAGAGAAGGGAGATGATCATTCACGGTCAAGGGGAGGGGCAGTAAACACTGACCAGCGGTGTTGAGGAGAAGCAGGGAGGGAAAGGGGAAGCAGGGATGGGACTTGGACGCAGATTAAAGCTCCGAAATCTCTGGGGAAAACCCAAATCAAGAGTGTCCAGGCCTCGCCCAATTAATATCAAGCAGATGTGGGGCAAAACCATCACTACAAAAAAAAAAAAAACCATCACTACAGCTATAAAAATAAATCTAATATATAATTAGGCAGCAAGATTTAGTATACATTCAGCTTTTCAAAAACTCACTTGCTGGACGATGAAATTAGAAAGGAGCATATAAGGGTGAGGGGTGCACCATGTGGACGATTTCACAGAACTTCCTACTAGCCAACCAAAGGAAGGCAGGCAATACAGTGTGGAGAGAGGAAGCACAGGGCCAGAAATCAGGAGACATGCACTCTAACCCTAATCGGACAGACTTGACAGTGGCCTTGACCTTCTATGAGCCTCCACAATGACTCCATGAACTGGTTGCTGAGACTGGGCTTTGCTCCCTAAGAACTTACATTTGCTTCTCCAGTGGGACAGCAGGATCCACTCTCTCTCCCAGGATCCCACAGAACTCGGGGCTCCCATGTTTGATGGGCTTGAAGCCCCCTCCGGGAGCTCGAAGCTGGCGCCGCCGGTCCCGGGAAGGCGAGGGGGATGACTGCCGTTTCTCACTGCCGTTAAACTGGGCTGTGGGGGAGAGAGAGAAAGAGCACGGTTACCTGGTTACCCAGAGCTCAGCTCAAGGAGAGGCGCGTAGTGGGGTCACGGTTGATGGTTCTCGTTGGGGCTTTACAACTTGCAGGCAGAAGGGTTCCAGGCGACGAACAAACATGGCTCAAAAGACGTGGGCTTCCTGAAACGGGACGAGCATGTGCCATCAAAAACAGAAGGTGCATTCGAGAGGCTGGTTGAATCCCCAGAGGCCACTGAGCTCAGCCTTATCCCCAAAGGAACCCTCCTGCAACCTCCATCAAAGGTGACATGGCACGCGCAGAGGGGGCACAGCCCCCTAGACAGTTCCTCATTTTCTGCCAAAAGCCTGTGTCTCCAAGTGGCTCCTCTCCTCCTCCCATTCTCCCATCCCACCCGGGGCGGCACAGGCCACATCTGCCCCCTTTCTCCTAGGACAACCCTAGAGAGTTCTAATCGAGGGTCATGTTGCATCACCCAAGTCTGCTCCTTGTCCTGGACCCAGCACCCAGGGGAGCCTGGAGCAGTGTCCGGCACAGCGGAATGGGTCCTCCAGTGTGCCTTCCTCCCGCCCTGGACCTGTGAGAGTGTTGTTCACCCCACGGGCTGGGGAGGATGCCTCTTGAGGGCAGGACCCCGGAGACACCCCACAAAAAGCAGAAAATACTGAGCTAAAACTGGAGTTGCCAGAAGTGTTCCTGGAGACTGGCTAGTCCACCTTGCAAGTTATCTCTCTGGGCTTCAATTTCCTCACCTGAAAAATAGGGATAACGACCGTACCCACCTCATGGGGTTGTTGTGAGGATTCTGCCAGGTGATGTACAGCCATCTTAGCTGAGCGCCTGGCGTGCAGTTAGTCTGTGCTCAGTCAATGCTATTATAAATATGTTCTTTTATTATGGTTTATATTATTATTTTTATTATCATGTCTGCTCAGTGTGGACACAGTACTAAGCACTTCACAGAAGCTTCCAAACTGACCCGAGTCCCCCCTCCTAAGCTGGCCAGTGACTGGCTGTGTGCCTTGGCTAAGCTGCTCAACCTCTCTGAGGCCCCATTCCCTACCTTACCAGGCTGCTGGGGAGATCACATGAGGGACTGCATCCTATGGGCCCAGCATACACAGAGCGCTTAGTAAGCTGGGCCAGGGCCTGCGGAACAATGTTCCCAAGGCCACATCAAGGTGCAGGCCCAATCTCCCCCCAACCAGCAAGCGTGGATGTGGCCAGCTGTCCTCCAACACCAGCCGCACGGCAATCAATCTCACATTCACAGAAGGTGCTGGGAAACCCCTGCCCTGACAGTGATGATGTGCTGTCCACGGGGACGGAGGTGAATGAACCTGCTGCGTGTCTCAGGCACGGAGCAAGATCACGCATCAGGACTGAAACATTTCCATCCCTCCAAGACACTTTAAACACTACAGAAAACAGAGGGAAGGGGCGAGGAGGTTCCTGCCAATGGAAGGCCCTGAACAGGCTGGACGCATGTGTATGTGGTCACTCTCATGACTGCAGTGGGGTCCAGCAGGCTGTCCACCCTAGACTCTCATTCACATGTGCCAGGTACAGTTCAGGGTTGGGGAAACAGCAGTGAGCAAAACAGAAATCCCTGTCTCTGGAGCTCAGGGTCCGAGTGAGAAGAGATAGACGACAAGTGAAATGAGTCAGATCCACAGCACACCAGCTGGTGCTAAGTGCTCCGGAGAAAACAAAAGCAGGACAGGGCAGGCCTCTTGAAGGATGGCATCTGAATAAATGACTGGAGGAAAGGAGGGCCGAGTCACGTGGACATCTGGGGGAAGGACATTCCAAGGAGAAGGAAGAGCAAATTCAAGGGCCTTGAATTTAGGAACAGGCCAAGGGTGACAGAGAAAACACAGCCCAGGGGAACTGGAGGCATTGGGTGGGGGGGCAGTTTGAGGCTGAGGGGAATGGGAGGGAGCAGGGCCAGGTGGTGGGGCTCTGGAGGCCTTGGGAAGAACTTCGGTTTGAGAGAAATGAAGAGCCATTCTGATGTTCTGACCGCGGCGAAGCCTTGTGACCTGGCACTTTTTTTTTTTTTTTTGCCGTACACGGGCCTCTCACTGTTGTGGCCTCTCCCGTTGTGGAGCACAGGCTCCGGACACGCAGGCTCAGTGGCCATGGCTCACGGGCCCAACCGCTCCGCAGCATGTGGGATCTTCCCGGACAGGGGCACGAACCCGTGTCCCCTGCATCGGCAGGCTGACTCTCAACCACTGCGCCACCAGGGAAGCCCAACCTGGCACTTTTTAACAGGATTGCTGGAATGACAAGGGATAGAGGACGCGGGTATATGGGAACTCTCCGTACTTTCGTCTCAAATTTTGCCGTGAACCTACTTAAGAAAAAAATTGTGAATTAAAAAAAAAGAGAGAGCAAGATGGAAGGGGAGCAAGGCCGAGCAGAGAGGAAGCTCCTGCAGGATGGGCTGGCATGGGAAAGGTGGGTGGAAGTGACCGTGAGAAACCAGATTCCGGCAGAGGCACGGGACTGATCTGTGTCTTCAGACTGGAGTGAGAGTGAGACAGAGGATCAAGGTCACTTACAGGCTTTTGGCCTGAGTGCTGGAGGATGGGGCTGGCATCGTCCAGGTGAAGACTCACAGAAAACTCTAAGCTGCATGAGAAAGCAGGATGGAGGCCGAGCTCCAACCTCCAGACGCCCACAGCCTGTGATGCCGGGACTGGCAGTGTGGAGTAGGGGCAGAGAGAGGACTGGCTGGGGGCTCCTGCCCTCGTCTCCAGCTACGGTTCTGTCCTGTGTCCAACCACAGGGACAGACAGCAAGACGGCAATGACCTCAAGACCCTTGTAGGGAATACGTCCTGGGGTTGTGTCTCTGAGAAAGGCCTCCTCCATTTGGCTGATGAGCTGGGCTTTCACAGTGGTGACGGGGGTGAAGCTCAGAGCTGGGGCCCTGGCACACATGTCACCACGGGCCCTTCCCTGGCTTCCCAGCAGCCCAGCTCCCCCACCAGGGCTCCCACTGAACCACACCAGCTCTCATGGCAACCAGTCAAATGGGGTGTATGTTCTGGGAGGGGGCGTGAGGAAGAGGTGAAGCAGATCCTGACCTGAGCCCCCTAACTTGCAGAGTCCTGGATGGGTGACCTTGGGCAGCAGTGAGCACTGCGATCAGGTAGACAGGTGAGGGCCTGGTCACCCTTCTGAAGAGCTGAGACTTGATCCTACGATGGGTTGAATGAAGGAACGCCATTCTTCGGATTGGGCTTTAGAGACCTCTCTGACTGCTGAAGGAGGGTGGGTTTTGGGGCAGCCCTGGAGGCAGAGAGACCGGTTAGGGAAGGCTGAATCCCTCAGTGATGAGAGGGATGTGGGAGGCGACTCCAACAGGACTTGATTACGTGTGGGGCGAGTCAGAGAAGACTCCTGTGTGATGCCACACTGAGATGGAGATCGGGGCACAGCAGGGGAGGGGGTCAGGGAGCACAGGACCAGTGTGTACTTTCCCACGAAGCCTCCCCTCTGCTAACTTTCTGATGTCGGGAGTGGAGAGGAGGCAGTTCAGC